AGAATTGAGCTCTGAAAAAAGCTCATTTAAGGCTGCAAATAAGAAATATGACAGTTATAATGTCCAATAATGCTGTGCATGTTTGCGAATAGAAAGTTAAATTTGAATTCAATACAATGAATACGATAGATTAAACAGAAATGAAAGAAACGTTGTCAGATATAAACAAAACCGCATATGGATGTAAACAACCCGCGGACAAAAAAGCATTATTAGACGTAAAAATCAGCATTTAAAAAATTTACATTAGTTAAGTAGCCGTTACTCATAGTTATGAATTATTTCAAATCTTTCACATATTCAGAGCACGTAATTAATTATATATAACATAATACTTGTATAAAATACTCATATAAATTCATGGGCCATTATTCGGCTGTTTTCTTATTAATATTTCTATACGAAGTAATGCAATAAATGCAGATCGACGATTAATTAAAGATTCACAAAGCTATATTCGTTAAATAACGCCGAACTATGAATGTCGGCTAATAAATTTTTCGACTCGGATATCTCTTTCCCAGTCAGTTCGTCAGACGTCTATCAGAAACATCCCGCATAATAAATGATTTGACGTACCTCGGAAATACAGCTGGAAGTTTAGAAGTACCGCTCTGCTTAGAAGTATCGTGTCTCAGTGTCCTCCGTTCCTCATCCTATCTCTCTAGAATCCTGGCTTCTCCGTCGTGGCGTTAGCAGTGGCACTGACACTGACACTCGCGCAGATACGATTCGATCGGATTGTCACTGAACGCGATGTCGACGAGAGTCCGACCGAGTAGTTCAAGAGCCGGTGAAATGTTTTAATCGGCGGAGATGAGATGTGCAACGCGCGCAACGCGACACACGTGCTCCGCGTACACGCGTACTACTCGTCGACTCGAGGCGTAATGAAACGGAACGCTCCGGAAGAGACGCGCGAGAGTACGTTCGACCCCCGTCAAAGTCCGGACTGCTTTGATTGCCGTTATCGCTCGGCGCTTGGCCGACGACGGTTGACTGTTGATAGAAGGGATGTTTACGTTTCTTATCCGTTGTATTAGCATTGCCGCGTGACGCGACTTCCCGGTCGCCCCGCGACCACCTTACCCTCGTTGTGGTACAGTCCGCGCAAAAGATTTTGTCTTGAAATATTTTTCACCCTACTGTCGACGGCAGGAGAGTATTGAGATGAGAGTAGCTATTTATTTTCGTAATAACGCCCACTCCACTGGTCGTCAGTCTCGAGAAAATCGATCTGGAAGCGCGGCGGATTCGCGAGCGGATCGGCTCCCCTCTGCGGCGATCGACTGGATTTTCCCGCAGGATCTGGAAAAAGAGAAGAAGAACGGGTGTTACAGAAGCCGTCCGTGCCACGTCTTTGTTTGCTCGGAGCTCTTTTCGTTCTCGGACTCCTCCTGTCTTTTCCGCGATCCGCCTCGCTCACTTTCGGGCCCGCCGAGAACGCGTTCCCTCGCCTTCAGGAAACGCGAGTATCGCCGCTCCTTATCCTCTTGAATCGCCTGCCGCGCACAGTCTCGGCGAGATTCCCTTTATCCCGGCGATATACCAACGCGCGCCGCCACCCTCGCGCTCGCTCCTCTTCGTTTAAACAAACCACCCCCGTAATCGAGACCGAATCGATGGATTAAGAATCCAATTGCTACTCTCTCTCTCTCTCACTCTTTTTCGCTTTTCCTTCCGTAGCCTTCATTCACCCCCGTTTCCAACGCGATCCGCGTCTTACGTCTCTTATTCCGTAAAAATCTCCAACCCTCGAATCTAACCCTCTGAACCATATCTAAACCTCTCACGGGACGCGCGCAACCGGCCGACCGCGATTCGCGGCGGAGGAAGATCGCACGGATCTCGGACGCTTTTCCGAAATACATTTCCGCCGTTGCGGCGTCGAGATGTTGGTCGATGGCTATAGCAACGGAGGCAAAAGCAGCAGCAGCAGCAGCAGCAGCAGCAGCAGCGGCGGCGGCGGCAATAAAGTTTGCTTTATTTTTACTATCCCTCCGGCCAAGTACCGCCCCGTATTTCCTCGGGATATTGACATATCGGGGGTGCCGGGGCTTCTCCTCTTAACGCCCTTTTTACACTGGCTCGGAATTTATGTCTTCTTCCTCCTCTCGTTCTCTCTCTCTCTCTCTCTCTCTCTCTCTCTCTCTGCTCTCTCTCCCGCGCTTTTCCCTGCACCCTCGTCACCGTCCCACGTCTTCTCCGCCTCTCCATCCCGCAGCCCGCCAGTCCCGCGCTCTCTTCTATCTTCCCCGTCCTTCTCCCTCACCGACGGCCGTTATTCGGCGGCGTCTCCACCCCCACGCACCCCTTAATTCCCGTTCTCTCTCTCGGTCCCGCGTTCCACATACAATCAATCACGCACACGTATCTCCGCGTTTGCAGAATCAACCGGAAATCTCTATTAGACGCCGGATCGCCGCAGCCTCTTTCCCGGGAGTCCTCGATCGATTCTGACCGATCGATCGACGGTAGAATGACGTGGACACGGCAACGTTACTGGCAACGATTCCCTCGTCGAGGACGAGGACGAGAACGAGGACGACGACGACGACGACGACGACGACGACGGCGGCGGCGGCGGCGGCGGCGGGCAAACGAGAACGGCACTTGTGTGTAAAATCACGGGTCGGGAGAGCCCGAGAAACGAACGGCACTGAATTTTCCACGTGACGTGGCCGCGAGAGTCAGAGGAAGATAGAAATATGTAATCCCCGAGCGCCTGTGATAAGAAACCCATGACGCATATCCGCTTGTCTACTTGAAAATCGGATTGCCGCCCTTGTTTGCATTCCGCGATGGAAAAGTCTGGCGTGCCCCTCGCTTCCATTCGCCGCCGCCACCGCCATTGACAATAATCAAAACTGCATTGAAAATTGTACAACGGAACCCGCGTTCACACACCGCGCGCTACCGAGACGCGCCAAGTTGGCGAGGCGCGCAATGACGTCTATTCAATCGAGCCGTTAAAGACCTTGCCGAGAACGAGATTCTGCGGAGTCAGCTAACGCGACGAGACGCGACACGACGCGCTCACTAAACTTTTTGCGCAATCGGGCGACAAGTTTTCTCCACTCGGTAAAGCGTCGCGTGCAGAGAAAAAGACGAAGAGAGAGTGAAAGAGAGAGAGAGAGAGAGAGAGAGAGAGAGAGAAAGAGAGAGAGAGAGAGAGAGAGAGAGAGAGAGAGAGAGAGAGTCCTTTATACTGTATTAATAACCGCGTTTTTGCTGGTTCATCGAGCACGTCCGTAAAATCGTCGGATGAGAGACGCGACGATAGTAAAAACGCGAAGGCGAGCGGATGCAATCCGGTCAGTGCAGACGCGGGGAAAAACAATGAACAATCGCTCGTCGCGCGGGGACAAGGGCGAGGGGGTAGGCTGTATCTCGGTGCACTTCTCTCCTCTCCACGTCCACCGTTTTTCGCTGCATTTCTATTTATTGGTGTCGCGGGACACGGCCGCATAAGGGCGCGCGCGATGAAAAAAGGTCGCGCCAGGACGACATGAGGGGGGGAGGGGAGCGGATGAGCGGGAGACGAGAGAGGGCAGGCGCGCGCGCGTAGGAGCACGGGCAGGACGTCGAAAAACGCAATATCGTGCCAGGAATGTCAAGTCGGAAGCAGATCGAGTGGACGCTCAAAACCGACAAAGCTCGCGGACCGTTTACCCAGAATGGAGAGTCAGTCCGTCCTTCTGTCTGTCTGTCTGTCTGTCTGTCCGTATGTCCGCAGCTTCGATTGCTTCGAAAAGTACGTTCTGCTACGAGCATTCGGCAAGCTCGCGCAAGTGTTACCGGCTGCAGTCAATTGTAGAGCCGCCGAGAGGGGGAGAAAGAGGGGGGGGGGAGAAGTCGAGGGTGAATTTCATTTGATTTTTGCCGGACATAATACACGACCGTGTCGGTTAAACGGCGCGTAGATGTACTCCGACCGATTCGGACATTGTGTATTATATTTGCATTTTCGAGTATGTCACCTCGGCGTGGCATGCACGCGGCATTTCCCGGGTCAATAAAGAGCCCGTCTGCGGGTTAATGCCGGTACAATAGGAGTATTGCAGGCAATATTAACGGTACATATAATTATTATCCTCATAAAATGATATTCGTAGTGTCAGTCAAACTGCGAATGCCGCCATGCAAGAGTGTTAAATGTAATTTCGCCAGCAGTCTACAAGTAATGAGACAAAATCCCGATTTTGTATGCAATAATATCAATTCAGGCGATTGCTCTCCTGTCACACACGCCGTGCCGATAATTAAAATTCCACAGCGTGGCTTAAAATTAATAATTAATCACAAATTTCGACGGTATTGCAAAACTTCCGTAGGGACCAGAAAAAAATATCGGAAAAATGCAGCGCCATATTTGATTTAAATTCGCCTCCGTGGAAAAATCTCGCCCGTCGCATCTTTTTTCATCCTCGGAAATATTATGGAGGAACGCGAAAAATTCTTTTCTTCCACTTCGAGCGAAGTATGCGTATATTTTGCAATTGCACGGTGCATGATTCGCACCCGCAATTTTACATCTACATCGATTCTGCATCCAACATCGCGTCTGATGTTAACCTGACATTAATCTGTTTTCCAAAATTCGATCCGATTTAACCCCTTCGATTCCGTTGAGTCATGTGCTACAATAAATTTGTCTTTTGAGTTGTAAATTTATTTTGCATTAAAATAATGTTCAACTTATTTTTCTACGCGGAAGAAAGAAATTTGGTTGGATTACTCCAAATATCTGGTGAAAATGAACGAATCAGAAATCCCGGTTGAAGTTACTAGAGTTCTGTGCAAGTTAACCAAATTTCTGATTAACCACATAAATTAACAAGATTTCCAATTAACCAGAGTTCGCAACTATTCAAATTATGATCGATAAAGTTTCCAGTTTCAACATCTCTTTAACCAGCTAAAAAAATGTTGTCAACTCGAACTTGAACAGAATTCCAACAACTTCAACCCGACCTCTAGTTTGTTCATATTCCTATCAGTTTGGTTGATTCAACTAGACTTGCGCTTTCTGCGTACGTTATCTCTGTGTGACAATATATTCACATGAAATATCTCAGAAGAGGAAAAGTGATACCGAAAGGGGTACGCGCCAACGCGAGACGTAAACGCGACGCAATATGCATGCTAAAACGAACTGATCGCTTGACCGAACGGCGTGCCTCTTGTTTCAGGTCAGGTCGACCTCTGGACGCAGAGCACCACCGGCTGCGCGTGCAGCTTCAACTCGTCCAGCAACGATTGCGCTTGCTGCGTGCCGTCGGGTGGCTGCAGCTGCGGCGCAGCCTCGCCCGATAGATGCGCTCAGTGCGGCCTGGAGCAGCATTGCGCGAATAGTAAGTATCTCTAAGTAAGCCCCCTAACTTACACGCCGTGACACCGGCTTCGCGTTGAACCAGAGCAGCCGCTTGAGCGTAACATTTCGCTAGAACTAGAGATTCCCACGAGTGTGACTACATTTGACTCGGACCTACCGCGCGAAATTGGAATAATCACGTAGGCTCTCAAGAGGCGAGCATACCTTTTGGATAGTTTTACCCCCGAATGGACGTGACGCGTAGTAGTTGCGACACTTATTAACACTTCACGGCCACGGCGAGCGGGAATTCTCACCTCGGTACCGCCCGTCTCGCCGCTTTTTCCTGCACCCGGTGGGAATCAACTAACTCAAGTATTTACCACCATGGTGTCCTACGGGGTAAATATAATTACGTCACGTCGAAAAGATACGGACGATCTTTCTGTCTTTCCTTCTCTCACTCTCTTTTGTCTGTACCGACGCCAGAAACAAGATTCACTGCATTAAGCCACTTTCCTCGCGCCGTTTCTCGTTTGCAGCCGCTCTCGCGTCGCGCGAACAAGTGGAAATTAAAGCGCGCGGCCGGGCGAAGTCCCTTTAGAAGTGCGGTTCGTGGGATGGAGCGGAAACGTGAAGGTGTGATTCAAAGAGGGGAAAGTGGAGGGCGGAAGGGGGGAAAAGCGGGGAAAGAGCACGCGAACGGGTGCATTTATGAGAGAGTACGTACGAACGCTCGCTCATTCGCTCGGCAATGCTCAAAAGACACCGAGACGTACGCGATGTGATGTCGATGGTTATGGTGGAGGAAACGCGGTTTCGGCTCTGAATGTTTACCGCCGCGCTTGAAACGCGTTTGCGAAATAAATCGCATCGCGGCTGCCCGTGCCGTCCGTTCGAGCTCGCCTTCTTATAACTAATTACTCTTGACGAAGTTCTTATGGTTCATCCATCTAACCTTTCTCCGCGCTAATTACTTGGGAGCGATATTGCCTTCATGTTCCATCCATCAAATCCTACTCTCTCCTCGAGTTTCTTTCGCGGCCTCCCGGAAGATACACGTGTAAGCGGGTCTCATGCGGCGTTGCAGACGATTCGCCGATTTGTTGGTTATTGTTTCTTTTTATGTAAACGGAAATCGAAATGGAGATAAAAATGAACGAAAGATCTGCAGTAGAAATGCATGGTTTCGTGATACCACGGCGAACACGAACAATGAATTCAATCCTATGTAACAAGAAATGAATTATTTTGCAACGAAAGAAGCGAAGTAAATAATGGAGTGGCGTTTTAATGACTCTTGTATTTCTCGCGAGTCTCACCCTGGTAGAAATTTAATGCAGTTTTCGAGCAGTTATACCGGACAGTTGTGTCAACTTTTGTCTAGTAACCGAAGAACAAAACTACCTGGGATCCCAAGCAAGATATAACGCTTCTGCTGCAGTCACTGCACACGAAAGATATGCAAAATATGAACTCATTTACTGAACGAAAACAAGCCAGTAAATAAACTATTCAATTGATTAATAATCAAATCTGATAAAAGATAAAATGGACAGGTTGCAATATTTCATTTTTTGTGCAGATTTTCTAAATTTAAATTGACAGGTTATCTCTCTAACCATAATTATTATCTCTGCCAAAGGGTTTAATAATATCAAATGTCTTAATTTCCCCAATTTTTTATGCTTTCTTATTATTATTATTATTATTATTATTATGTGTTTATTCATTTTTATCACGTAATACTAAGTTCCATTTTAACAATATAAATAAATATGTTTCAAATTTGTTTATATATATTATAATATCATAAGACTGAACTCTGATATTATTGATACTGTATTTTGCATAAAATCGGTCCACACATATCGTACAGTGAACTCTGCTTCAACCACTGAGTAAAAAAAGATTTATTCGGTGGGTGCCAACAGCACATTTATTTGTAGTAACATAAAATATTTTTCAAATATTTAAATAAGAAAATATTATACTTTTCTTTAAAACCTTAAGAAAATATTTATTTTTTACGAAAACAATTATTTATTTTATGTAAACAAAAAATTTGATGTTGAAATGTTGAATTTAGACTTAAGTAAATACGCAGTTAATATTTATAAAAAAATAAATATCTATTAATCTTCAGATATTCTTTCTCTCAGTATAATGAGAATGCATTAATATTAGATAATAATTGGTGTCTATGTAAACAACACACATTTCTACCAGGGTTACGTTTGCTTCGCACAAAAGACATCGTGAAAAAATCGACAGCGATATTAACAGCGGGGAACGAAATGATTCCCCGAGAAACGTAATACCGCGGTTTGCAAGAGGCGGCTTCTGCGCTACAATCACGGAACAGTCTCGCGCAACATCCCGGCAACGGGAAGCAATTGAGAATCAAATTACACACAATGGCAGCTCGCTTCATAACATTGCGCCGATCTGTCGCGACTCATCGTCGCCCGAACGCGGCACGGCTGCACGAGGCGCGCCAATGAAACTGTACGAGCGAGAAATATCGTATTTATTAGCGACACTCCATTTTTCTCGCCCTCACCGCCGCCATCTTTCGTGAATCGTCCAGACAAAATCACGGCGAACGCAAGAGCGCGTGAAGCGACGAAACGAGAGAGTTAGAGCGAACGGCGGGTGTATGTGCGAAGTTCGGCGAGTGATCCTTAAGGGAATGCTAAAGTCGATAACGAACTCGAAAACTGTCGATAACGCAGAGACGATCGTCACTAACACAATCGCGCTATCCTTTCCGTATTTCTTGTACATACAAAACTTAGCATTACAAAACGCAAGTGCGTGCTTCTTTGTTTTACCTTATTCAGCGGAAAATCTAACCGCGCACACACATGTGTAGAAATCTTTCTGCAAACTTTTCCTTAAGCTTCTGGATTCAGATGCAAAGGTACAGCAATGTTCTTCAAAATTGTTCTATTTGGAGCATCCATACTTTTGGTATGTACAAGCTACGGAACTTTTGAATTAGGCAAATATTACGTTAACTGACAGCTTGAGATTTTAAATTAAAACGTTAAAATTTGTTTCTCTTCTGAGCAATGCTCCTGTTTATGTTTACACGTATTTTCATTTGCACGTAAAAGCATTTATAATTCTGTACAACCAATACGACGTAAAACTTGTAGAAAAATGTCAGTATTCTGTCGGTAAAGTTTTCAGCTTCAGCGCTCCCTTAAAAGGATGTCCGCCGAAGGATGTTGCAATGTTGATCCTCGCGAAAAATATGGGCGAGTTCGCGAGCGTCGCATTTTTCGCAGGCGCGATATTCGGCCGGGCGTATTTTCACGCTAACACGATCGCCTTTGTCCCGTGTTTCAGTGTGCAACATAACGCTGGACAGCAGGCAACTGTTCAGCAAATCGGATCGCGGCTTCGGGCAAATAAAGTCGCCGTACCTCCAAGGGCCCTCGAGGTGTACATACAGATTCGTGCCGGATACCGGGCAGCGGGTCGAGCTGCAGATATATCGACTGGTGTCCATCGGTCGGCACAACGGCTCCGCGTAAGTAGCTCCTCGGAGAGACGCCTTTTCTTTCGATCCTCTCTCGCTATCGTATCGTTTAACCGTCGAGCGCCATTTTGCACCTCCGCGTCGCTTCCTCGCGGCGACGCGGCGTAAACTTTACGGCGTGGCATTCGCCCCGGCGCTTACAACCAACACAACGTCCGCCCGATACACCCGCATAATACGTGCGCCCGTAACTTGCGTCGCGTTATGGTCTGGCCGAAATTTTGAATATACACATGGCGCATAATGGAGAACGTAACCGAGAGGATACACGCGCCACTACTAAGAAAGTCGGCGAGTGAAGTTTATTCGAACATTTCTGCGGGACGTATTTAACACGTTCGCTACACCAGCGTTGCGTGACTGTGTGTGGCGGCGATTTTTCTTTTCTTTCTCCTTCAATTTTTCCTTTGTGTTCGCCCGAGCAAACTAAACCAGCTTCACAAAAGAAGAAAATACGAAACAATCTGGTGAAAATTAACCTCCTTCAATGGTGATTTAAAGTGACTACGCGATTCCCCCTCCCCAACACGGTTTTTTTTTTCTTAATAAATATATCTAGATTTTCTTATTGCTCCTTATTGCTGTTTTCTTTGAAGAATTTTGAGAAATAGAATACAAAATATACCAAATTTATAATTTTGCTATAAGTAAACAAAATGCAATAATTTAAATAAGTCGAAAGGAATTGAGTGTTTTACCACGAAATGTTTTTCCCGCCATACCATTTAAAGAGTTAATCGTTTGAAATTTTCTTTGATTAAAATAATCAATGAATTAATAATCAAAATTAATCAATCGTCGTACAAAATCACAAATAACTTTCACGTAATCAATGAAATTAATTATTATTAATCCAGCTTTGATGTATATTGATTATGTACTGATTAATAATTAATTTCATCAAATTAAATCATCCGATTAAATTATTCGTAAATTATATATGCGACGATTAATTGTGTGATTCTGATTGTTTATTTGTCAATTATTTTAAAGAAAATTTTTATCCGTTAATATATCCAGCATTCTCTGTCTGTGGGAGGATTCCCGAAATAAACCGTGACAGTGAACTTGCAAAACATGTTGTATATTATTACATTTAAACGCATGTAATATGTTCCGCGAATAAATGTCAATTAAATTTTATATGTATATGTGACAGCGATTTTTCTTTCTATATTAAACAAACCCATTTTTTAAATCTGTTTTACATAAAAACATACGAAGTGATCTGCGAAAAAATCATACTCTAAATGAACCGTGGTAGCAAATATATAAAATGTAAGAATTCTTTGTGTCTTCTCACAACGACTGTGTGGTATCTTTCGCGAATAAACACACACGTTAAATGTCGCACGAAGACTCCATCAAGACGATTATTGCGGGAGTGCAAGGTGGTGGACGCTCTCGCCACACATGTTTATTGTTCATCAGTAACTCACTGTTTATTCTCGCGTCACTCGAGGAGGTGACCATGGCGTCCCCTCTTTTCGCGCACGAGTAGTCAACGAACATACACGGACAGCGGCGCGGACCGATATGATTGGAAATAGCTCTCGTCCGATGGTCGTTTCAATTTGTCATACTTCCGCCGTTACGAGACGATAGCTCGGCTCTTAAGTTCCCCTCGACTCTCACGGGGGCGACGGGGCGAGGAGTAGTCGGCGGTGACGCCGGCGGAGCTACGAGAGAGGACAGGCGAGCACGGGGAGTTGGGGAGAAAAATTACTGTTTTCAGAAACCCGCCAGCGACCTCACCCCATACTCACACATATATATACACACACCAGCTCCGTCCACTCCGACCACGTTCATGGACAAACTTCGCGGCGGTCGGAAAAGGCCTTCGACAAGCCCCCGGAAAAGTTCTCGCGATTTTTCGACAAGGCTCGACCCCGCAACCCCCCGCCTCGGGGCGCGTAGCCACGACGACGAAGTCGTCGAGGAGCTTACGACGCATCGAGCATCCTACGAGCTTACTCCAACGGCTTTTGTTCCCGTCTCTGGAATACGCAAAGCGTACAGCATCCGCGGCACGGATGTGTGTTTATGGGGTGCAGGATAGGCACGAAGGAACGAGGGTGCCATCAATGGAAAATGTGTGCGCACGCTTTTGCCGCTATTGTTATTCTTCCCGAAGATGAAATCACGTGAACCGACGAATTTTTGACGAAGGCGACGTTGGGAGGCAAACTGCATGTGGACGACTAAAAAATTTTCCGGGTTGATCGCGATTAGCAGTCGCAGTTAGGGTTGTCATATTTGTAAGTTGGTAGGAAGGAATTTCCTGAAATTTTAATAAACAATAAAAGAGAAAAGTTTGCCGGATGGAGTGCGCGCAAAAGTGACTACATATAAAGATTTTAGGATAAATTATTGCATTAATACTTTACACTACTACGAACAGCCTTCAGAACCTCAGTGTTGCTTCTTATTTTATCTGCAACTCTAGACAATTTTCAGACAGAATTTAGACAAAAAAGGCTTCTTCGATGCAGTAGGGAAGAACAAATTCTTTGCAGGACACGAAAATTTTGATTAGAAAGATGAATGTCACGAAGACTCCATCGAGACGATTATTGCGGGGGTGCAAGGTAGTGGACGCTCTCGCCACACACGTTTATCGCTCATCAGTAACTCATTGTTTATTCTCGCGTCACTCGAGGAGGCGTCCCCTCTTTTCGCGCACGAGTAGTCAACGAGCATAATTTTGACCCTACTTTCAGCTTCATTATTCGATTCAACACATATTTTGATATTCTGAAGTCTAATATAACCTATTTTGACGCTGAGGAAAATGAAAAGGAAACTTTCGAACCTCATCATGTCCATCCTTGTCTAGGGGAGTGCCAAACATCTCTCCTTTCATACTGTACGACATCATCAGAGACGAAATAGGAATAAATTGTATCATTAGAAATGAACCTACTTTGGTAACTTAACTCCTACTGCGTTGTAGGATTCAAGGTTTAACATAGAGCCAACATTTCGACTCGGGAATTCTTCCTAAAGGAGGACATGTGGCAACTCTAGTCGCGAACGAGCAATGTGTCGCGAGCCCGATTGAGAAATTTAAGTAGCGGAGATAAAAATTCTATCGACAATTTATAACATTGCCACGGTGAAGCGTGAGTATTCTCCAGCGTATCGGCGAGAATAAATCTATTGACATCATCATTTATACATGTGTGCCCGCGTATGCGTGTATGCATGTATTATCGTATATCTTCGGATAAGCCGCTTTCAAACGAAAGTCTCACGAACTTTATGGCTTCTCGATATCTTCCTGCTTAGTTTACATATTTTTAGGCGCGGATAACTCAAATCCTACGCAGATGAGCCGCGAAAATGTCATACTTCGCGTTTAAAAGATTGAGCAACGAATCTGCTTCACTCTCAGTAAACTCGTTAAAATATCCATTAAAAACGAATTCATAAGTACTTCTATGATAAATTATTATAAATATAAATATGTTATTAGCATACATCGAATAAACATTTACTATTTGTTAAGTATTTTTTCTCTCAGTGTATGAGTAAGAGGAACAAAACTTTCTCGGGACAAAATTCTTTCTCATTATCTCAAGGTCTCTATTTCCCATTCAAATATGGAAGAAAGCATAAAATTATTGACTATTGGACTGTTTTTAAAATTACTCACGAATCTCACATAGATTAATATTGTATATCTTATATATATATATATTTTTTTTTTTTTTTGTAGTATTTATAATTCTCCAAATATATACTCTCGTATTCTAAAGCATCTTTATCTATAATAAAAAAGTATCCATTTCCCGCTTATAGTGTAAGACTTGAAGGCATCCTAAGGGCTCTCAAGTAAATCCCTCTTTAAGCCTCAAGATAAATCAACGTTCCTTTGCGATGCCGTGTAACGTGAAAAGCGCGATTGAGACGTCTCGTAATATTACGCTAAACTACTCAGCGCGTGAAATGTAAATCCGTAAATGTACACCGTCGCGTAGGTGTTACGGGCTTCAGAACGGGAAGATGCCTGGTAAACGACCCACCGTCGGCGTGCGCGACGTGCAAAGTGCGCCGCATTAAACGCACGTAAAAGATGCAAGAGGCCGTGCTTTTTAAGTCCACTTGTTAGCGAGGAAACGGCCGGCAAGCTGGCGGCGAAAAATATCGTTACTCTTGCCGGCCGGGACCGCGCTCCCACCGCCGCGTTTCCCCGAGCACTCTGAGAAACTGCAACGACCGGAAGAGAAACAGCGCCGCTCTCGCGTACCGTGTCCGTACAAATCCTCCAGCACGGGAAAATATTGGCGCTCGATCGGCTTTATCGTGACAGAGATCCCGCGAAATTTCAGCATTGCTCCTCAGGACGCAGACGAGAAATTTCGCGGCTCATTTCTGACGCGTCACAAGAGTCGACGGGCGAGGAGTATCGCGTGTGAGATGAGATGCCGTCGAGACCGCGCCAGTAAATCGATCAAATAGGGGAAAACGTCCAACAGTCCGCACTCTACCTGTTTTCGGCACTCTTGCGCGAATGTTGTCGGGTGTGTTAACTCTAAACATCAAACAGTTATGTAAACTCGAAATATAATATGCATGAAATGAAATATGAATAAATTTTACCCAGCGCATTTTTATTTGCACCCAACTTCTGTAAAAATCATCAAAATCCAATGCTATTTATTTTTAATCAGTGTAGAAAACATCGCGGAGTATGAATCCGTTAATGTTTTTGATCTCCGATGAAATTGAAATAAGTTATAATGAAAAAACGAAACACGTATTTTTTTAATGGTAATGTTGGAAAAGTTGGTTTGGGTAAATTTCACCCCTGTTTAGGTAAATTTCATCTCTGTTCTAGACTTAAGATGCATGGGAATTTGAAAGAGCACGAATACGCAAACAATAAGTAGTAATTGGTAAATAATTAATAAGTAATTAATAAATCCGCGCGCACCTCTGCATTTGACGCGATCCGAGCGAGGGTGCCGAAAACTGGTGGAGAGCGCTGCAACGAGTGGCCGGCTAGTGTGAGTGTGTTTGTTTCAGCTCGAATAATCGTTTAACGGGTGAGCTTTAAATCTGTATCGCGCCGGGCCGACTTCGCTTCGATTGTTGAAAGTGAAATTATTGCGGGTCGATATATCGACCAGATACGTGCGGGGAATTTATTTGTGCACTCGTGCGCACGCAACTCGCCAACAATTTTTTGCGCGCGCGAATGTGTATGTATGTATGTGTGCGCGCGCGTACGACGGCTCAGGTAACACAAATGAGCATTCCGCAGAGAAAATGTTGTTTGTTGAATTGCGCACTTAGTTATCGTTGGCTGAATTGTACCTTTACGAAGGGATTCAACGTTTATACGAGTGAGATTGAAATGCCCGCTTTTAATAATTTACGCAACGCATGACGCTGAATTAATATCACAGAGGACGAAGCACACGACGGAGTTGGAAATATGACAAACGACACATGTTACACGGCGCGGTCGTGTAATACGTGTGTAGTTCATGCTCGTTAAGTTATAATTAATGTAACTTTCCGGGGCTCCTCTATACGCGCGCCGCCATAACAGGTTCCTTGTGTCGTTATGTGTCACGTCTCCCGCGTCCTTCAAAGGCCAGACGCTTGATCACTGATTATTAGAGAGTTACATATTCGTACATATAGCTCACTCTCCCGTCACACCCACGTGTTTCATCCACTTCTCCGTCCCGAAAAGGAAGATAAAGAGCCTCGGCTTATCGTTCATTTCTTCGTTCTGTCCCTCCCCCTTGGTAATTCGATTAACGATGCTCACCGTTAAGAGGATGCCAAACTTGGAAACTTTACCGATAAAATACTGACTTTTTTCTGCAGGTTTTACGTACCGTTCGTTGCACAAAATTACAAATGCTTTTGCACATCGAAAGTACGTGCAAATTTCAAAAGACATTTCTATATCTTTTCAACTGGATTTAATCTTTAGACTGCCGGGAAAGCCACTTTTGTGGTTTTGCACAAATCTCAAAATTTTATGCCATGTGTGTTATTTATATAGAAAAATTTTTGAGAAAAGAAAACCACTTTTTTCATGAAAAAATGCCGGTAGCCTAAAGGTTAAAAAGGCTCAAAAATATTAAGGAAATTTGCAGAAAGATTTCTGTATATGCGTGTAGTTATGTTTCCCGCTAGCAAAACCAAGTGACACACATTTATATAAGATCTATATGTATCTATATATATAAGAAATACGGAAAGGACAATATGATCGCGTTAGTAACAATCATCTCTACATTATTGACATTTTTGGAGTCACGCGTCCACTTCAGCATCTCCTTAAACCGTCACGTATCGTTCATTCTAGTATATTTATTTGTTTGCGCATAAATCGCTGTCTATGTTTATATATATATATATATATATATATATATATATATATATATAAAGAGAGAGAGAGAGAGAGAGAGAGAGAACTTCCTTTCTAGCGAATGTCCTTTCACGAGCGCGAATCGTCTATCTTACGGCTGTCCCATGCAGGCAGGACTTCCCGGGGTCCTTCTCTCGACTGCACTCATAGGATCCTGATAATGGGACGTGAATTTCAAGGAAAGGAACAAAGCGCACAAACCACCCGGGCCATACCGTGTTTGGCCGAAAAGCGGAAGATGTAGGTGCTCCTAATTCCGAATGCCGAGCCATGGTCACCTCGGTGTACGTGCGCGTTCTCGATGAGACGCAATTGGGTCAGGTCCTCGGCCTGGACATGCACTTCATTCCGTGAACGTCGCTCGTGAACGAGCCGCGATGCGATTTCAGGTCCGAGGTCGTATTAAGTGACCGCTATAGTCAGTGATATTCTCGAGGGAAAATCGAAAGCGACGCCGAGTGACACTCTCTGCTTTCTCGTTCTTTCTCTCTCTCTCCCCCGCATCGCAGATGCACATCGTGGCAGTTGAGAGATCCCGCCTTAAATCGCTCGTCGGTTTCACGGTGAAACTACGAATATAATATTCGCTTCGGCGTGGGAAAAGAAGCAAAAGTTCGCTCGAAAAATGCGGACGCGAAGAAAGGTTAGAGTTCCTTAACACGCGGAGATAAGCAAGTCGCGAGCTGAATATCCGCAATTTTTTATAGTTTCGCTCGTCTACGTGAATGAAAAACTTTTTTAACAAAAACTGACCGCCTTCGGAAGTCTCAAAACTCCTAAAAAGTATGAAATAATTTTTACTCAATATATTTTTGTGCACTCATAATCCTACCCTAATACTACAACGATAGTAAAGTCGACGTGAAATCTGATTTTGATTAAATCAATAAACATATCTTTTTTATTATTTTTTTCCCTATATTGTTAGTTACTTTTCGCGTTGAATATTCTAATATCATTAGGATATTAGAACAGGATTTTAAACATATAGGAATGTTGAGTCAAAATTAGTTCATATTCTGGGTCTTTGAGGTTTCTGAAGGCGGTTTATTGTTACAAAAGTTTTTATCCCGTACTTTTTAATTATTTACCAGAAGCTTGTTTACGAAGTCAGTTGAGAAAAGTTTCTTCCCTCTTTTATGTCGATAAAAAATAAATTTTCGTTTTATATTTCTAAGTGTTCCCGGCTTTTCATGAAAACGATGGAATTGCCCACACAATTTCCAGATCACTTCACCCGATTAATTGTACTTTCATCTAAGAATCACGTCGACCAAGCTGCAAAATATTTCGTCTCGCTGTCTTTAATTTTGTTCTCGAATTATGAGGGAGCATGCAAACAAACATACGTGCATGCGGAACAAACTGAGAACCTTCTATTTCGAAGTCGGTTCTAAAGGTACGCGCGAAAACAACGCGAGTGCCAAATCCGCGGCGATATTATCCTCGACGCGCTCAAATGAACCGTGCGGAATTAAT